AGAGGTTATGTTTCATTAATATGTGCCTCATATAAGCAGTCAGCATGTAAAAATGATGGCAAAATCTGACCAGGAGTTTAAAATTACAAATTATACATAGAATGTGCACCAAATTAGTTAGATAATTAATTGAGAAGCATAAATTTAAAAAATCTAATTGATGTTGTACATGTGATAATCAGAGTCATTCTTCTACAATTGTTAAATATAATTTGTCTCATAATGCTACCCTTTGGTAAATTGTTATAACAGTGTATGATATATGTAGCTTATTAACAGTTTCATTAATTGCTATTAGAGGAAAGAAGCTATGAAAGCTGGTGCACATAGGAACAAATGTTGAGGCAGATGGTTGAAATTAGTGAAACATGATCAGTTGCTGAACCAGTTTACTTAATTAGCTTTCTGCATCAGAATAGTTAAAATAAATTTGTCATATTGTCTTCAGGAAATTGAAATTCAGGAGATGATCATCACATATATTTTTTTAAATTAACACGACAAAGAGCAAAGAACTGTGGGCTCTGACCCATGACCATTAGTTTATTCTGTACTGAGAGTCTGCTGAGCTGTTTAGAATGGAAGGGGAATTTTACTGTTAGGGAATAGCCAACTGCGCTGACATCTTTCTACTGTTTTTAGCAGGGAAAACAGAGGGAGAAGAGCAAGTAGAAATTGGCCACTGCCCACAAAATTAACTTGATGCTGTTACTTCTTAGTTAATAATTTTCAGAGGAGTCGAAATGGATCTTTGAAATAACGGTTTCATACAACAGTTTCCTTTTCAGCAAGGTTCCAGAAAATTTCAAGAAATCAAAATTGTAATAGTTTTCATGCTAAGGCATTTTTGGCCATATTGCTGTGTATAGCGGGGGTGGGAACTCAATTTTTAAGGTACTTGTCTTGGTTAATTCCTATAGATTTCAGTTTGGCATCCACAGCAATAGCATGAACAACAAATAGTCAAAAATGGGGGAGATTTTGATAGAAATATGGTTTATATGTTGGAGAAACTCTGATGACATTTGGAATTGTTTAATGGAATGCTCTAAATTGTTAATGGAATGCTCAGCTATTACATGATTTATACCTGCTGAGGTTTGTATAGGCTTGGAACAATTTGCTATCCCTTCTCACAGGAATGTTTTTATATATTTGCCTTTTAGAACACATTTTTCAACTTTGTAGCAGAAGTACAGAACTTAGCTATCAGTATGGAAAGTTTCCAATGATACTGTCTTCATCTATTTTTTCAAACATATTACAAGTGAGGTTTAGATGATCATGTTTAACTACATGAATCTAAATAACTATAAATATGCATGATCTGTTATTGACACAGCTACCCTTTCCCCTTTGAGGTGTATAAGGGGGTTCTTTCTGCTAGTGTTAGTATATAAATTATTTCATCCAGAAACTATGGAGCTGTGGCCACTAGTGGTTTGGCCTTTGTCACCTTTTCTGTCTTTACCATCAATCTTGGCTTTGATTAAAAAGGTGGGAGTAAGATCATTTTGTTGATAATACATTTATAGGCACTGTGTCAAGAGGGTTTGAACATTTCAAGGTCCCACAGATGTATTTGTGTTCTAAACTTAAAAAAAGTTATTTGTTAATATGAAATTAAAAAATGAAAAACTGAAATTAAGAAACATTTAGATCTCTATAACATAATTTTCAAAAATAGTAAATTGTTATTTTAGTAAACTCTTATATAGTAATACATAAGTAATATTTATTGTGGGAAGAGGGTCTGTTTTTATGTTTACTATGAGGGAAACATTAATATAAAAATGACTTGATTCAAAATTTTTTACCCTGAATGTTAAGACTATTTGGGAAAGCTGCTTCTACTTTGGATATAAAAAGCTCCTACTCTAACAATAAAAATAATTAATCTACAAAAGTATGTCTTGTTTGTATTCATCAGATAGTTGAGGTTTCAAAGCAACTAAGATCACTGAATTTCAGAGGATGTCAAGACCCTCCAGGAGAGGTGGACCACATTAAATTTGCCTTTGGCAGAACAAAGCAGAAAGAGATGGCAGCTATAAAATCAGATAAAAAGAAAACAACTGTGTGATGGTTAATTTTATGTGCCAAATTAACAAGGCCAATGAGTGCCCAGATATTTGGTTAAACATTATTCTGAGTCTGTCTGTGAGAGTGTTTCTGGATGATATTAATGTTTGAATCAGTAGACTGAGTAAAACATATTGCTCTTCTCAATGAAGGTGGGTCTCATGCAATCTGTGAAGACCTGGCCAGTGTGGTGGCTCACACCTGTAATCACAGCACTTTGGGAGGCAGAGGCAGGTGGATTACTTGAGGTCAGGCATTTGAGACCAGCCTGGCCAACATGGTGAAACCTTGTCTCTACTAAACCAACAACAACAACAAACCACAAAAAATAATCTGTGAAGGCCTAAATAGAGTAAAGTGCTAAGAAGGAATTATTTCTATCTGTCTAAATGCCTCCAAACTGGAACAGCAGACTTTTCTTGCCTTCAGATGCAGACTGAAACTGGAACTGATATGACTGGCTCTCCTGCATCTCAGGCTTTCAGACTCAGACTGGATCTATACCATTGATTCCCCTCGGTGTGGACTTCTCAGTGCCCATAATCACATAAGCCAATTCCTTATAATAAATCATTTTATATACATCCTCTTGGTCTTCTTTTTTTGGAGAATCCTGACTAATGCAAAGTGAACATTTAAAAAATAATTAAAGGCCCAATAGGCCAGCATGATAGTTGAGAACCCATGGAAACCCCATACAAAGGAGAATCTGCAAGCACTCACCAATGCTCATTCATGGGCCCTAACCAGGTACTCTTGAGTAGGACTGGAAGCATGACAAATTCTTTGGTGATGCAGGAATGTAGATATGATGTTGCTGTTGAGGGAAAGGTGTAATGTCTAGCCCTGTTCTGAATCCTTTCCTCATATGAAAATAAAGGTGTTGCCACTAAGAGAGAAGCAGGCAACATCCATATACCCCTGATACCAGTTTGGCTTGCCATTGGAGTAGCAGGAGATGAGAAATGCTGTATTTCACTAAGAATAGAATAGAAAAGTTAAGTACATGATCTTGCACTGATGAAAAAGCAAGGTAGATCATGGCTATCATGATGAGAGAGGAAGGAAGGATGAGAAGGCTAAAATAAGAAACTAGAAATCCCCTGGCACCTGCAAAAGCCTTGTACATAGAAACAAGCTAATGCAGGCAGTATATTATCTGGGAAAGGGGAAAGATACTGAACGGGGACCCACTCTGTGGCATGGGGATGCAAGGTCTGCTAAAAGGTGAGGATGGAGCAAAATACTGTTAAAACCCTCCAGCACCCTAGGTGCCTCAGCCTAAGCACAAGCTAGTAGTAGTCTATGACTGGAGGAATTTGAAGTCTATGGTTAATCAAAGGTAATTAGAACAACAACCACAATCAACTGAGTTCAGCTACTATTTAAACTGATCTAACCTCCATATTAACGAACTGCTATAAGAAGTGTGCCCGTTTCCTGTTGTAAATTTACCTCACACTCAATTTTTCTTTAGCCACGATGTCTACATTCAATGTGTTATTATACGATACACACAAACAATAACAATGACTATGACAAATTACCCATTATCAAGAGATAAAGGAGTCAACAGAATCAAACCAAGATGTGATGAGATCATGGTACTTTAGATGAAGTATTTCAAAACAACTATGTTAAATATGTTAAAGAGTGTTAATATGTTAAAAAGGTTAACACATGTATGAACAAATGAGAAATTTCAGGAGGTATATAGAAATTCAAAAAGAAATCAAGTGAGAATGCTAGAAATTTTTTAAAAACATGCTAAACAGAGAAGAAGAATTTATTTGATAAATTTTCTGCTGAATGACTTATCAACAGTCTGGATATAGCAGTGAAAGGAATTGTTGAACTTTAAGTTAGACCAATGCAAATTATCCATACTAAAAAAAAAAAAAAAATGAAGAAACAATAATAGCAAGAGAATGGAATATTCAGTAGCCATAGAGTAATATCAAATAATCTAACATATATATAATTGAGGTTTTATGAGGAGAAGAAAGATACTATGGCACAGAATATATTCAAAAAGATAATAGCAAATAATATTCCAAAATGAATGAAAGAGAGCAAACAGCAGATTTAAAAAGCCAGGGTTTAAAGCAGAAGAAATAATAAAAAAAAATACTTGGGCACATCAAAGCTAAACTTCTGAAAACCAAATATGAAGATAAAATCTTAAAAGCATCCAAAGGAAAAAATAAAGCACGATTACATATAGAAAACCAAAGATAAGAATGTCAGCAATCTTCTTGTAAGAGACTAAATAAGGCAGAAAGCAATAAATCAATATCTTTAAAGTACAAGAAAAAAAACTGTTAACTCGCTTGAAATTTTATACCCTACAAAACTATCTTTTAACAATGAAAATAAAATAGAATACTTTTTAAGTAAACAAAAGATGAGAAAATTCACTGGCAGTGAAGTTTTGTACTATAAGAAATGATAAAGTTTTACAGGTAGAAGGATTGTGATACATGATAAATATCTGGATCTATACAAAATATTGATAAAATGTTCTAAATAGTAAAGATGTGAGAATATAAAAATTCATTTAAAAATACTTCTGAAAGATAATTGAGTGAAGAAAAATAGTAACAGTACAGTGGGGAGACTGTAACATAATTAGGAGTAAAACATAACAAAATAATAGCACAAAGAATTAGTGGAAGGAAGTGATGTGTGGCTGTTAAAACATATTGAAATGATATATTCCTAAAATTTAGACTGTAAGAACTTAAACATGTATATGGTAAATCCTAGAAAAAATAGTAAAAACAATTCAGAAAGCTCTGTCTTATAGGCCAATAGTGATGATAGAATTGAATAATTAAAATGCTCACTTAACACAAAAGGACAGTAGAAAAAGGAAGAGAAAAAGAATATATAGATACTAATGCGATGGAGCCTGGTGGATGGAAGTGGCTGTTGGAGGCTTTAAGTTTGCCACAGTTTACAAGGCCAGAGATAAGAATACCAACCAAATTGTCGCCATTAATAAAATCAGACTTGGACATAGATCAGAAACTAAAGATGGTATAAGCAGAACAGCCTTAAGAGACATACAATTATTACAGGAGCTAAGTCATCCAAATATAATTGGTCTCCTTGATGCTTTTGGACATAAATCTAATGTTAGCCTTGTCTTTGGTTTTATGGAAAATGATCTAGAGGTTATAATAAAGGATAATAGTCTTGTGCTGACACCATCACACATCAAAGCCTGCATGTTGATGACTCTTCAAGGATTAGAATATTTACATCAACATTGGATCCTACATAGGGATCTAAAACCAAACAACTTGTTGCTAGATGAAAATGGAGTTCTAAAACTGGCACATTTTGGCCTGGCCAAATCATATGGAAGCCCCAGTAGAGCTTATACACATCAGGTTGTAACTAGGTGGTATCGGGCCCCTGAGTTACTATTTGGAGCTAGGATGTATGGTGTGAGTGTGGACATGTGGGCTGTTGGCTGTATATTAGCAGAGTTACTTCTAAGAGTTCCTTTTTTGGTCAGGAGATTCAGACCTTGATCAGCTAACAAGAATATTTGGGTACACCAACTGAGGAACAGTGGCCAGACATGTGTAGTCTTCCAGATTATGTGACATTTAAGAGTTTCCCTGGAATCCCGTTGCATCACATCTTCAATGCAGCAGGAGACGACTTACTAGATCTCATACAGGGCTTATTCTTATTTGATCCATGTGCTCGAATTACGGCCACGCAGGCACTGAAAATGAAGTATTTCAGTAATCGGCCAGGGCCAATACCTGGATGTCAGCTGCCAAGACCCAACTGTCCAGTGGAAACCTTAAAGGAGCAATCAAATCCGGCTTTGGCAACAAAAAGGAAAAGAACAGAGGCCTTGGAACAGGGAGGATTGCCCAAGAAACTAATTTTTTAAAGAGAACACTGGACAACATTTTACTACTGAAGGAAATAGTCAAAAAGGCAAATAATGGAAAAATAGTAAACATTGAGTAAATGCTGTAGAAGTGAATTTGTAAATATTCTACACATGTAAAATATATAAAACTATGGGTTATTTTTATAAAATGTATTTTAAAATAAGAAGAATATATAGCACACATTTATAAAAACAAATTGGTAAATTTAAAGCCAATCATATTGGTAACTATATTAAATGTAAATTGTGTAAATTTGTCAGTTAAGAGCTAGGTATTGCCAAATTGAATTAACAAGAGCAAGACAAGTATATTCTATCTACAAGAATCTCACTTTAAATATATGGCTACAGATACATTCAAAATTAAAGGATGGAGAAAGGTATACCATGTAAACACTTGTCAAAAGAAGCTGAAGTAGGTATATTAGCATTACATAAAGTAGACTTGAGAACAGGAAAGATTACAAGAGACATAAAGGGATATTACATAGTAATAAAGGGATAATTTAATCTAGGAAAAATAGCAATTCTATATGTATATTCTTCTAATGTTAGAGTTTCAAAATATATAAATAACTGATAGAACTGAAAGGATAAAGGGACAAATCCACAATTATAGTTGGAAAACTCAAAATTCCTGTTTTTATATATAATACATGTGGACAAAAAATCAGTTAGAAGACTTAGAATGTACTGTCAACCATTTTTACTTCATTTACTTCATTGGTAAAATATTAGAATATTTTCCATAGACTATTTTCCAACAGACAATAGGAAAAATTCTTTAAAGTTTACACGGAACTACTTAGTGTAGTTAACATTAAGATAGAGTATTTTCTGTGTCATTAATAATGCTTCAAATGTTAAAAATTGAAATCGCCAAGTGCAGTGGCTCATGCCTGTAATCCCAGCACTTTGGGAGGCTGAGGCAGGCAGATCATGAGGTCAGGCATTCAAAACCAGACTGGCCAACATGATGAAACTCCATCTCTACTAAAAATACAAAAGTTACTCAGGCATGGTGGTGAGCACCTGTAGTCTCAGCTACTTGGGAGGCTGAGGCAGGAGAATCACTTGAACCTGGGAGGCGGAAGTTGCTGTGAGCCCAGATCCGGCCACTGCACTCCAGCCTGGGCGACAGAGTGAGACTCTGTCTCAACAACAGCAACACAAAATTAAAATCGTACAAAATACATATTCAGACCAAAATAAAATCAAACTAGAATTTGATATCAGAAAGATACCTGGAAAATCCCTAAATATTTGGAAATTAAACAAAATATTAAACATTGCATAGGTCAAAAAAATCACAGAAAAATTAAAAAATATTTTGAATGGAATGAAAATAAACCATATTAAATTTGGGGTAACATAACCAAAGAGCTGCTTAATTGCAAATGTGTAGAATCAAATGCTTATATTAGAAAATATTTTAAAAGGGCTAAAACTAATAATCTAACCTCCATTTAAGACTTTGCAAAAACAAGGGTAAATTAAAACCAAACAAACAGAAGGAAGAAAACCAATAGGAAAAAATAATAAAACTACAAGCTGCTTGTCTGAAAAGATTATTAAAATTGGTAAGCTTTTAGACAGACTAAGTAAAAAAGAGAAAAGATAGAAATGGCCAATATCAGAAATAAAAGAGGTTACATTACTACAGAACCTATGGACATTAAAAAGGTAAAGAGGAAATATAAACAAGTTTATGGTCATAAATTCAATGTTAGATAAAAGATAAAAAAGTTCTTAAAAGTTAGAAGCTTCCAAATATCACTCAAGAAGAAATAGATAACCTTAATACTTCTATGTCTGTAAAAGACATAGAACTTAAAAAACCTTTCAACAAAGTTCTGACCCCCCAGGACTTGACAGGTAAATTCTACTAAACATTTAAGAAAGAAATAACACAAAATTTACGCAAACTCTTCCAGAAAAACAAGAGCAAATAAACTTCCCAATTCATTTTATCAAGTTAATACTATCTGATATCCTGATACAAAAATTATACAAAGACATTATAGGATAAGAAGACCACAGAACAATATCTCTCATAAATATAAAAAAAATGCTTAATAAAGTATTAGTAAAATCTTGTGATATAAAAAAGAGTAGTACATAATTATCAATCTAGGTGTATCCCAAGAATGCAAGGTTGGTTGAACTTTTAAATAGCAGATGGCATAATTTACTATATTAAAAAACTAAAAATCGTAATAACATTATGCTGGTGGAAATAGAGATAGTATTATATTAATGGATGTAGAAAAGGATACAAAGCCAATCTATAAAAATTAGCTATATTTCTATATAATAGCAACTAACAATTGAAAATTGAAATAAGAAAAATGCCATTCAAAATAACATAAAAACCCATCACATAATTAAGAGCACAATTATAGATATATTCATATACATATATGTGTGTGTGTGTATATATACACATATGTATGTATATATAGAAAGATAAATGCAAGGCTATTATATTAAAAATCGCAAAACATTATGCAGCAAAATAAAGACATAAATCACTGGAGAGAAATATTGTTTTTATGGATCAGAAGATTCAATATTGATATAATCCCAATTATCTCCTAATCCATCAAACTTCAATTGGGCATTTTCTTGGTAGAAATTGACAAGATGATTCCAAAATTAATATGAAAATTAAAGGACCTAGATTACCCCAAATAAGTTTAAATATAAAAAAATTTAGAGGTCGCACACTATCTGATTTCAAAACTTGCTGTAAAGTTAACCTAAACGAAACAGGGTAGTATTTATTTAAGGATAAATGTATTGAGCAATGGAATAGAATTGAAGCCAGAAGTAGATCCACACATATATGGTTAACTGATTCTTTATAAAGGTGCCAAAGTAATTTATTGGAAAATGAGTAGTTTTTTTTAAACACATAGGATTGAAATAACTGGAATCTAGATGTTACATAATGAAATTCAACACCTATCTCACACCATATTAAGAAAATGAGATTGAAATAGATTATAAGCCTTAATGAAAATTCTAAAACTTAAAAAAACTCTACATAAGAAAACATAAGAGAAAATCTTTTCTGACTTAAGTTCATCAGAGATTTCCTAGATAGGACACACCCACACACAGACACACACAGACACACACACACACACACACACACAAAAAAAACCGTAAATTACAAAAGGAAAATTAATAAGTTGGACTTTACATAATGAAAACATTTGTTTTTTGAATGACACTATTTACACAGTGAAAATTCATGCTATAAATTGGGAAAAATATTTGCAAAACACATCTTTTGAAAGACTTGTATCCAGAATACATAATACAATCTTACAACTCAATAATGAGACAAACATCCCATAGAAAAGCAAAAAGACTTGATATTTCATCAAAGAAAATATACAACTGTCAAATAAGGTCATGAAAAGGGACTGAACATTATTATTCATTGTGAAATGCAAATTAAAACCACAGTAAGATACAGCTATGTACCTATTAACTTGGCTGAAATTAACATGAAAATAAGTATTGGCAAGTTTGTAGAACAAATGGGAATCCAGAGCTAATGCAAAACGGTATGGCCATTTTGAAAAACAGTTTGGTAGTGTCTCGTAAAGTTAAATATATATCTGTCATATAAACCAGAAATCTTGTGCCTAGAAAAATAAAATTAAGAACTAAGAGAAATAAGAACATATATCTCTGCAAATATACGTATGCGAACCTAGCAATTTCATCTGTAATAGCTAAAACCTGGAAATATACCAATGTTCATCAATTGATGAACAGATTAACAAACGTAGTACAACCACACAAAGGAATACTATTCAACACCAAATCAACAAATTGTTGATACATGCAAAACCATAAATAAATCTAAAAGCATTATGTTCAGTGAAATAAACAAGACACTAAATAATACGTATTATATGATTCCATGTGTATGACATTCCAGAAAGGGGTTGCCAGGGACAGATGGTGGTAAGAGAGGATTAACTGCAAAGAACCCCTGGGAAACTTTTGTGAGTAAATAGAAATGTTCCATATGCTGATTGTTATGTTGATTATATTAATGCATACATTAATCATAAAACTATACACTAAAAAGGGTGAATTTTATTGTATTTAAATTGTATTTACATTGATGTGTGCTTAACGAAAAATGTATTTGTTTATAAAAATAGAAATGCAGAGAATTCGGGGAACATAAAGCCAACAGTGGCAGTCTAAGGTTTTGAATCTTTCTGAATCTGCATTTAAATCAACAGAGCAACTAAATATCAAAACTCCAAACCCATGAACAGTATTTACCACAAAACTAGCTGACAAAGTATCAAAACATACATGGGGGTAAACACAGACCATCAAGGGCCATAAATTCATCAGGCCATTGAATGTGCAGGAGAAAGACAGCAATAACTGGGAGTCTGATGGATTTGAGAAAGGAGATCCAAAGAGCCAGTCATTATTCACTGGAAAGCACAGCATGTAGTGGAAAATATGAGCCTCAAATGGCCAACAACAATTCTAGTAAAACTACTGGACTCTAAAAAAAAAAAAAGAAAAAAAAATCAATATTTTTGGTATTTGAACCAAAAGTGCATATGTTTTTTAAGGGAAGGAAAATGTGATTTTTATCAGATTTTTTGCTAACAGTCACCTTTATTTTGCCTTCCCTGTAAGAACTGCAACACAAGATAGCCAAACGGTAGATGAATGGGAAAATGTCTGTACAAAATTATTCCAGCTACTCAATGAAAACTCTGTGATGAAATTAGAATATCTACATGTTGTAACCAGAGTGAATTAATGGATCTGGGCATTGAGCATTAACAGCTGCTAACATTACAGAAAGAGCAAAGACCAGGCATGATATACTTCTTGATTAAAGAACACACCGCCACATATGGCCTTGCCAAAGACATAGGCTGAGTCTAATGGAACCTCTGGATCCAAGGAGTTAATTTGAAGGAAATTCAGAGTGCAAAAGAATGTGTTAAACTACATCGTTAGTATAGTATAATCAAGGTCCAAACTGTGGAAACCTCTCAATGACCCAGGTTATTCAAAAGTTATGTTATAAGGAAAAGAAAGTGATGGAGGAGTAACCTGTAGATGAGAAGAGACTGGAGGCCAGGTGTGGTTGCTCAAG